CAGTTGTTTCAGGAGCCCGATCTCATGAAAGTGCGTATCTATACCACGAATGTCATTTCTCGTGCCATTTATACGCCAAAAATGTTTTTTTGCGTCTATATGATACGCAGTTTTCGCGTGCATATGATACGCACTTTATGGCGTGTAATATGCACGCACACCCCACCCCCCTCCCCCCTAAACCTACCCAAGGGGTTTTCAGTGCGTAGCATATGCACGCAAAAAACATTTTTGGCGTATAAATGGCACGAGAAATGACATTCGTGGTATAGATACGCACTTTCATGAGACTGTGTTGGTTTCAGACAGTGTTAAAGGTGCACTCAGGATTATTTCCCCCTGAAAAACAACTTTTTTTCCACATAAACAGAGCTATATGTTTTTAAATGATATTCAGCTTGTTTATTTTACATGGAGTGGGTTGCCTCATGATTTCTAGTTTGAGATCACAATGAAAAGTGCCATCTTTACTCTGTATGTTTGTATGTATTTATATATATAAGGTCTGTATTCCACTGTACCCTATCTTTGATACTACAACAAACTAGAATTGCTCACATGAGTCAGACCTACTGATAATGTGTCAGTACAGCGATCAATTCATTGACAGCAAGAAACAGCAATTGCTTTGTGGAAGTTGTCTGAAATCTCTGGCTCACACCCAGAATCCTCAGTCAAAGTCACTGCAGGTCTCAGCCTCGCTAATAAAAGATGTCAGTTCAGTAAGATGAGCCCGAGTGTGGAATTAATTGGCTATCAGGAATTTATTTTCCCCTCCGCGTTGAGATTTGCACATCATCTAATAATAATGTCAGAAATAGCTTTCAGCAATAATGACCTTTATTTGACCTTTAAAGTGATGAAAATACTTTAGATTCCTCTCACTGTTGGGGCCGTTAACACACAGATGGAGTTTCACCTACACGAACGTATGAACGCCAGCTTACATTTTCTGTTTCTTTCAGTGCTCAGTCTGTCTGTCACATTCTCATTCGGTGTCCTTCATGAACCTATACACATATGATATGTCCTGTTGAATGAGTTCAAAGTCCTTTTAAAATAAGTTGGATCTTGACATGACAAGCTATATTGTAATCATGTTGTATGTAAATATATATACAGTATATACTGTATATATATATGAAATGTATTCATGATTACAATATAGCATGTCAACTCATTTAACAGGACATATAATATGTGTATGAAGGTTTATATATATATATATATATATATATATATACAGTATATATATATATATATATACAGTATATATATATATATATATATATATATATATATATATATATATATATATATATATATATAAAGCTTAAATACAGACACCTTGATTTAAAACACAATGATTTAAACGTTTAAATGTTTTTTTAAGAAAAAAAAAAACAGTCTAAAAGTTTTTGTCCTGAATAAAATGGCAAAGATCGTTGCAGTCCAGTACATTGTACAGAAAAATGTATGTATATGTGTATTTGTATATCCTTGCTGCTTATCAGTACGAAGTGTTGGGGAACATTAATATGTAACATCTTATGCCGGTCTCTCTCTCTCTCTCTCTCTCTCTCTCTCTTTGATGTAGTTGTGCCTCCTAAAGGAGAGAGAGCCGCGTGTTATCGCAGCCGAGCAGAGTGATGGTATCTGCAGCGTTCGACTAGTTTCCATTAGGGAATTACCAGGTCAGGTTGAGGGGATGGGGGGTGTTGGTTGCAGAGCAGACCTGCGGTAATGAAGGAATTCGCCTTCGTTGTTCAGCCAGAGGAGTATATCAGCATTTATACATTACTCCACATGCTGGGCCTGCACTACCAGGAGATTAGGAAAGAGACCGGGATCGTACATCAGCCTGTGTGTGCCGCTGACACAACCAAGAGATAGACCCAAGAAAAATCGCAGCAAAGAGGCTTTCAAAACAGGAGACACCTTGCATAGAAAAGAGACTGTACTCTCTGTGTACATACTGGCTGCGATTAAATCCAACTATATCAGGAGGCAGATCGGATCACACGAGCTTCACTGTCTGCACTGCCATTGGTAGTCAACGGATCACACTGATACAAATTTGCATAATACTTTATGGATAACTGGCAACAAGCCTGGATGTTGAAAATGCATCTTGAGACCTCTAAATTTAGCATTCTGTTCAATTCCGTTGAACTCTGGCATGCAGCCATGGAATGTTTTATTTTTTTTTTTTTTTTTATTACAGGAAAACAGATTAAAGTCTACATGAAATTACAATTTTAATTCAGTAAATGATATCCAATCACAACAAAAGTGTAGGTCGAGTCATTTTGAATGTTGTTTAAAATGTAAAAAAAAAAAAAAAAAAAAAAATCTTAAGAACAAATGCACAACAATAGTAAGCAGCACAGCGGTTTTCAACATCCTCATCACCAAATCAGCATATTAGAATGATTTCTGAAGGATCATGTGACACTGAAAATTCAGCTTTGTATTGCGAAAAAAAAAAAACACTTTAAAATATATTGAAAATAGCAAACAGTTATTTTAAATTGTAATAATATTTTACAATATTACTGTTTTTACTGTATTTTTGATCACATAAATGTAGCATTGGTCAGCATAAGAGTCTTCTTTTAAAAACATTTTTAAAAACCGTATACTGACCCATAACTTTTGAACGGTAGTGTGGATGCCATTTTCATTTGAGTATAAATGATACTTTCATCAAGTATTAATAACAACAAACAGCGTAAGTGTAATAGTGATGATATTCACAGTGTAAAAAACATGATATTTGTACTAAAAAGTAAATGTATGGATTTAAAATAGCCTTTTATACAGTTTAAATAGAAACTGCCTTAATTATCATCCATTAGGAATTGATTAGATACTGAAAAGACAGATAGTCGGAGGGGAGTGAATGAAGATGGATAGGATAGTCATTTCGCAAGCGAGTTATTGAATTTTTGTGGAAAGATTACGACAACATTTTTTTCTCCAGACTAACGAATCATTCACAATAGGAACGCATGTTAAGAAAGTACACAGTCAATTTTGATTTCATATTGACTTTAACATCGAATAAAACCCTCATTTAGCAGAAATCCCCAGTTGTGGAGCAGTTGCACATGTTTACAGCCTGACCTCCAGCAAATTTGATCTTAGAAGGTCCTCTGTGCTATTCCTAATGAGGGTCCCCTGGCTATATTTTGCATGATGTATAAAATGTTTTCCATTGCAAAAATAAAACCACGTTTTTTAAAAGCAGGTCAAGGGTATAATGAGGATGGAGAGAGAGGTAAGTAATGTGTCAGTCTCCTGTTTTAATACCGCTGCTCCCAGGAGGTTACAGATATGCATGTGTTATAGTAGAATTTTATACTCATTCGACAATGAAAGTCCACTGGCTATTGATTACACAAACAATTCTGCACACGCTAGAAAAGATCGAAGTTAGACATGCTGCTTAAACAAGCTCAGAAATCAAACTAACAAAAGAGAAACAAATAACAAAATGGCAGTTTCTGAGCCAACAAACAAAAAGGGGCTCTATCTATCTGTCTGTCTGTCTGTCTGTCTGTGTCTATCTATCTATCTGTCTGTCTGTCTGTCTGTCTGTCTGTCTGTCTCTCCGTCCGTCCGTCCATCCGTCCGTCTGTCTGTCTGTCCATCTTTCTATCTATCTATCTATCTATCTATCTATCTATCTATCTATCTATCTATCTATCTATCTATCTATCTATCTATCTATCTGTCTGTCTGTCTGTCTGTCTGTCTGTCTGTCTGTCTGTGTCTATCTATCTATCTGTCTGTCTGTCTGTCTGTCTGTCTGTCTCTCCGTCCGTCCGTCCATCCGTCCGTCTGTCTGTCTGTCTGTCCATCTTTCTATCTATCTATCTATCTATCTATCTATCTATCTATCTATCTATCTATCTATCTATCTATCTATCTATCTATCTATCTATCTATCTATCTATCTATCTATCTATCTATCTATCTATCTATCTATCTATCTATCTGTCTATCTATCTATCTATCTGTCTGTCTGTCTGTCTATCTATCTATCTGTCTGTCTGTCTGTGTGTCTGTCTGTCTGTCTGTCTGTCTGTCTGTCTGTCTGTCTGTCTGTCTGTCCATCTTTCCATCTATCTATCTATCTATCTATCTATCTATCTATCTATCTATCTATCTATCTATCTATCTATCTATCTATCTGTCTATCTATCTATCTATCTATCTATCTATCTATCTATCTATCTATCTATCTATCTATCTATCTATCTATCTTCTATCTTTCCATCTTTCCATCCATCCATCCATCCATCCATCTATCTATCTATCTATCTATCTATCTATCTATCTATCTATCTATCTATCTATCTATCTATCTATCTATCTATCTATCTATCTATCTATCTATCTATCTATCTATCTATCTATCTATCTATCTATCTATCTATCTATCTATCTGTCTGTCTGTCTGTCTGTCATTTTTAAGCTTGGCCTGCACAATGCTAATTATTTATTTATTTTTTACAATAATTAGGAGGAAATTTCAGTAGACAAGTAGGTGATTTTAGTCTTACACATTTGAGTTAAAAAAATACATAATGATCTTGCTTTTTTAAAAGACACCACAAGGCCACATTTCAGGGAAATCAAAATGGATAGGAATTTGGATAGGAGAAATATTTTAGCATCAAAATAATTACACACTTCACCTTTACATTTTTTGTTCCACTGGCATTTATCTTTACAGTAAAACCGCAAATAAAGGCAATGGCACTTTTACGCCACCACAATAACATGTGGCGCAACGCTTGCCTGTCCCATCGACTGTCAAAACACTGAAAAACACTTTGCATGTCCAAGAATCACAAAGCGAAATCAAACGCACTGTGGATCCGCCTCAGGCAACACGGGCCCCTGTGAGCGCCTGTCAGTCCGGCATGAGCAGAGCAGAAAGAGTGCTTTGTTGAGCACGGCTACAGCTTTAGTAAAGCAAAAAAGCAACTCACCCAGCGGCTGTCCTGCAATAATCCTGGTGTTCTCGCCTGCGACGGCCGCCCGTGCGTTCCTTTCACTCATGTATTGGACGAAAGCGTAACCCTTGTGCACCGAACAGCCCACGATCTTGCCGTACTTGGCGAAGATGACCTCGATGTCGCCCTTCTTCACAATGGCAGTGTTGAGGTTGCCGATAAAGACCCGTGAGTTGAGGGAGCGTGGGTCGTTCTTGTTAGTGACATTGCTGGTCTGACTCTTGCCGGTCATTCTTCTCCTGTGGAGCAGAGACATGATGGGGACGACATCAAGCACACCTCATATATTGCTGGACTGTCTTGAGGACAGAAAAAGGTGGTTGTAGGGATGCACGATATATCGGCCACCAAATCGGTATCGGCTGATAAATGTTCATTTTTAATGGTATCGGCCTGATAAGAGAATTTGGCCGATATATTAAAGCCGATAAATAATGGATTATTTCCTTCAGCTGAGACACTTCAGATGTGCACTGTTCGCCATGATGGTTTTGAATGGCTTGAAATATGATTGGAATCACTTCAAAAAAGGAAAATACAGTCAAGTGCAACATGTGCTGTCATGTAGGCTACATGAAATTATAATAAGAACAGTATAATTGTGTGCTTGGGACACAGACACTTTAACTTAATGGTGAGACTTTTGTTTTTGTAAACAGGCTCTCAAGAATTATATAAAATATTGGATTTAGATTTATCGGCCAATATATCAGTTATCGGTATCGACCAAATTTTCATATCGGTGCATCCCTAGGTGGTTGTCAAATAACTTTCTCCAACTTAATAAAGATAAAACTGAAATAATTATATTTGGTCCCCCATAATTGAGAGGCAGTCTAATCAACGAGCTCGGTAATCATTTTCCTTCAATTAGAATTGGAAACCTTGGTGTCATTCTGGACTCATAATTTTGCTTAAACCAAGCTAATTAATTCTGTTGTTAAGAATAGTTTTTATCAATAACAAATTAACTCTAAACTTAAAACATTTGTGTCTTTCCAAGAATTGGAGAAGGTTAAATTACTTCACATCTAGACTATTGTAATTCCCTTTTTTTTTGAGATGGTCTGAAAGGCTGTTGACTATAGGGCAAAGAAATATGATCATGTCATCCCAATTTTAGCTGTCCCTTTTAGGATCCAAGTTAAGATTTTGTAGTTTGTTTTTAAAGCTCCTTATGACCAAGCTCCATCTTATCTTAAAGATCTTCTTATCTCCTATACATCTAGTAGACCTTTAGGATCTTCTGAAATGGCATTATCCTCCTGGGACCCAATAATAGACTTTTGTCCAGTGTAGTGGACATTATATTTTAGTGAATTTCTCATCATACATGTCACATGACACAACCTGGGTGTCCTGTAAAGAGCACATTAAGGACTTTTCAGAGATACCAAATGTTTGGAGGTTTCACCATGAAAACAACTTCTCATTGGTCTTTAAAAATGTCTGACATTAATTTAGTGATCAAATGTAGCAATTCGATAAATATGATAATATATTGTAATTATAATTTAAATTGGACTACTTTTTCAAATTGTATTTCATAAAACAACATCTCAGGAAAATGTTAAGGGGTTTCAAATAAAAAATCTACTTTCTGTTACAGAACAGGGCATTGATTTCAAACGTGTAGAGGACATCAGGACTTAAATCATGTTTATCAGGCATTCTGGGAGACACAACAAGTGAATATGGAAATAAATTATACATCAATATTCCCATGAAATATGAGATATTATTATTAAAATGTTGCCAATTATTACTCCAATTATTACACTTCTTTTTTCATTAAATGTTGCTCCAAGAACACATTAATGTGCAAATTAGATACAGTGTATAGATACATTGCATTAAATGGGAATATTAATTTATGGCCATTTTACCCACATATAGTAAAAAGTAAAATGGTGTATCAATTTATTCCACTATTTCTTTCATAACATAGTTGAGAATAATCTTTATACAAATTTTGGTTGAAAAAATCCTGAAACCCCAAAATTTATTGGTGATTGAAAAAAAATCCCATTATTTTTGCCTATACATATAATTTCATATCATTTTATTTTTTAAACAACTTAATCCTGGCGTCCACTACAGAGGACATAGCATAACGTATGAATAAAATATATCCGCTCTAAACAGTGTGATGACATGGAAAAAAACTAAATTCCCAAAACTTTTTTTTTCTGGGTCTCAGGACAGGAGGATATTGTACGTCCCACGATCACGTCCAGGGTGATAGCGCCTTTTCGGTTGCCACCCCTCGTTTATGGAATCAGCTGCCATTTGACATTTAAAACTAGGCTGAAAATGTATCTTTACTCACAGGCGTTTTAAGTATTCTATATATTGTTTTATATTTTTATTGTATTTCATTCTTATTTCTGTTCAGCTTTGATGTTTTTTATACTATACTATACTATACTATACTATACTATACTATACTATTTACTATATAGATATACATTAAATGAACTTAATTACTGCTTTTGTCAGTTATTCCACTGCAGGATGCTTCTGCATGCTCTTAAAGTCATTGTTTTATGCAAATTAATTATTTGCACTGCAGCCACACACACAAAAAAAAGCTCTTATAACATTACGATTATCCACCAAAAAATGAAACAAACTTTCTAAAAACTTTCTAAAAGCACTTACAATGCATGCTACGTCCCTGACTCAACCTTCACATTTTATCATCATAAAGATTTTAAGATTAGATACTGTATTGTTTTCTTATCATGATTAAAGAACAGCTATTGGAGCGATATAACAATAATTAAATTGCTGTTTTATGGTGTATATAGCCTACAGACTTGTTCCTGTTGTCAGTGCCAGCCCAGAACCATCATTTCTAACATCCAGGCCGCCCAGCACACTGAATATGTGAGAATATGAGTGAGTGCTGATGTGTTCGTGAGAGATGTGTGTGTTTATTTGTGTTCGTGTCTATAAATGTGAGAAAATGAGCACGCTGGTGTGAAGGCGAGAAAGCGAGTGCCGTGCGGATGAGAGAGAGTAAATGAAGGCCTCGGGTTTATGCAGTCTCTGAACACACAGTTAGTCTTCACATCAGAGAACAGCAGCAAGATCCTCCCATTGGGTGTCATCCAACTCCCCTTCCCGAACACACACACATTCAGAGACAGTGACTGCTATTGTCTGAGACAGAGATGCATTATGTTCTGTCTCTCACGCTGTCAACGACCTACTCTCACAAGACAGCAAGAATGAACACGCAGCTTCACGGAGGCTCTAGCGAGACAGTGTGTCTGAATCAAACGAGCTGACCGAATGCGACACATTGAGAAGCCCAAATATATACTTGATATTTGTTGAACAGCAGGAGTGTAGAGTTTTGGCTCTGATGGGTCGTTCACACTGACAGTGATTTTAATCGCTGGAAGTCAGAAGGTCAATGTACTGTTGGTCACTAACTTACTTCAGGCATTACTAGACTTCAAGAGGCACACTAGCGGCTGCAGTCTTAAGCATCCTTGTTAGCACATGCGCCTCCCACGCCGGAGACCCCGGTTCGAATCCCACTCAGAGCAGGTCAAGTAGGACTGGTTACATTTGGTGCCGTGACCCGGATGGGAGTGAGGTTTAGTGGGGGTGAGTGTGGACGTAGGCCAGTTAGAGCTGTGCGTGTAAACCTCACTCCCCTGACCTCAAGAGGCATGCTAGCGGCTGTGGTCTTTAGCATCCTTGTTAGCACGCCCGCCTCCCACGGTTCGAATCCCACTCAGAGCTGGTTGAGTAGGACTGGTTACATTTGGTGCCGTGACCCGGATGGGAGTGAGGTTTAGTGGGGGTGAGTGTAATGGACGTAGGCCAGTTAGAGCTGTGCGTGTAAACCTCACTCCCCTGACCTCAAGAGGCACGCTAGCGGCTGTGGTCTTTAGCATCCTTGTTAGCACGCCCGCCTCCCACGGTTCGAATCCCACTCAGAGCTGGTAGAGTAGGACCAGTTGCACAAAGTTAAACATGGTCCTGGGTCGAATATTTTCCTGTTAGAAAATTTAATCCTAACCATATCTCCTAACCTAACACTACCCATAAATTATCCCTAAAATCAGAGGGAAATGATAGGTGAATAACACTGATGTAGAAGCACCTAACTCTGATCGCAAGCCTAACCTTGACATAAACTCGACATAAACTTGTCCCTCAAATCTGACTGGTTGATTGTAATGTTGTTCCAGGATCAACAAAGATGAAATCAGGTTCTGCTAAACGGCCATAGATTTTTTTTAAATCTGATTATAAATTTGATTTATTGTTGGTAAAGACAGATAAAAATGAACATTATGGAGGGGAATGTGTTTGTACATAAATTGCAGAAGTGAAAATGAATGACTTCTGGTCACCGAAGTCTATTTTTGCAAGCTAAAATAAATAAATAAATAAATAAGGTGAAAATTCAATTTAAACCTATCGTAAATCTATTTATCTTTGCAATAAACAGTATGAATGAATGAGGCATTTATAAAGTGCTTTCATATGTACTACTGTACACCTAAAGCGCTTTACAATCATATCAGGGGATCTTTCCTCAACCACCACCAGTGTGAGCATCCACTTGGATGATGCGACGGCAGCCAGTACGATCACCACACACCAGCTACAGGTGGAGAGGAGAGAGAGTGATAGAGCCAATTCAGTGGATGGGGATTATTAGGAGGCCATGATTGACGAATCTATGTTATGGTTGAGGTGAATTTTCCACATCGAATCAATGTTGAAATCGCAATGTCTTGCTTTTACAATACCTTGTTAAGGCCAAGTCACACTGCACCAAGAAACGCAGACCAGCGCCGACAGTCTCCAGATTACAGTACATCGATTCTCAGGCATTCGAATTCAGCATGTTCAATCAGAAAAAAACAAGCTCCGACAGACGCCAACAGACTCCGACAGGGGTAACACACTGATCCAACAAAACCCGACTAAGTATCTGTTGGCGTCTGTTGGTGGAGTAAGAGTTGGGTGTTTAAATGTCAACGTTCAAGTATTTTGCTAACATTTCTACAACCATTTAGCTACTATATTTCAGCATTAAAAGATGGTCAAGTACAAGCTGGGTAAGCCAGAATTTCCCTTACCACAGAGGTAAGGTCAAACGTGAGACATATGTGCAAAATAACCACCAGGTAGTGCAGTGTGTATATATATATATATAGATAATGATCAATCTAATTCACATACATTTTGACTGTAATACTCAATGTACTAA